AGAGAGAGAGAGAGAGAGAGAGAGAGAGAGAGAGAGAGAGAGAGAGAGATCACGCTTCCCTAACCACACGCGCAGCCACGATTTGACATCTTGTGTAGAGAGTTTTTAAGCGGTCGTTGATGTGGAGTCCTTTCCTGCTGTGTGACACTCGTTCTTCCCCCCATGCCGCCCTGCATTCGTTACAACCTGTAACATCATCTCTTTCATGTACGATACGAGATGGGACATACAGTCTGCAACCAGCCTCGCCATTTGTCGCAAATTCGCTTTTGGCACGAATTGTTTAAACGTGTCTGTCGTCATAGGTACTGCAACAGATTCAACATTAACACGTGGCGCTTTACGAGCGACGACGCATGAAAAATTGTGTTGGACGTTGTGACAATTCAGTGCGCTAACATCGGTACACGGCAACAACGCATGTGCCGTAGACGAGTGGTCTCCAACAGTGTTCGCGCTGCCAGTGGCGGTGTGCTTTGCTGTCTCATGTTCTTTATCTCCCTTCGTCCTTTCACCGTCTGCACTTTCCATGACAACTCCGTTCTGACAAGTCACCGTCAATTCTCTTGACAGCAACCTACCGCGTGTGTATTGCAGGGTATCCATCACGTCCGTGCAACGGTTGAACAGAGACATCATATTCCGTGGAAGGTCATCGTTGTTAGTCGCGACAACCTCATCACAGAGACCGTACGAGGAGTATCGTTTTATGGTTTCCTTACAATGACGAATACAATCTTCTGCGAAGGTCAAAAAGTCGACGACGCTGCGTGATAAAGCAGTCAGCGAACCCGTGTTATATTCCTAACTATCATACGATGTTCACCCCTCCTTGTGATTCTCTGTCAGTTTTGTTTGTGATGTGGACAGCGAACCGATTCAAAACCGCGGTGCGCCTGCGCCTTTCACATTCCAACCATGTTCGGTACTCGTCAAACGTAGTTGTCTTCATTCCAGCTATTGCCTTAAGTCTGGCGGTCAATCCTCCCTCAGACGAGTGATGTCTTAACACTTTGGATCGGTTAGTAACAACAAAAAGACGGAGAACATCCTGTGTTCTGCAATTTTTGTTATTTCGGCGAGCAGTGATTTAAGGCGGCCTATCTCATTTGACATGAGTCTCAACAATTGTTTCTGCTTATGTACCTCGTCTGTGAGCCTGTCTATATGTTTTTGCTGCTTCTCCACCATCTCACCCAGTTCTCTTGCATCAAAGTCGGCTTCTCTTCTTGGTCGCCGAACGAAAGAAACTGATCAGGCGTTGCATCACACTCTTCGCCTGACTTTCTCTTCTGCCCGGTTTTTGCCAATCTTGACATCTGGAAATATATGTATATACAACGAAATACATAGATAGATAGATAGATAGATACATACATAGATAGATAGATTGATAGATAAATAGATGGAGATAACAACAGAGAGACAGAGAGAAAGCGAGCCAGCGAGAGAGAGAGACAGAGACAGAGAAAGACAGAGAGAGACAGAGAAAGAGACAGAGAGAGAGGCAGAGAGACAGAGAGAGACAGAGAGAGACAGAAAGAGAGAGAGACAGAGAGAGACAGAGAGAGACAGGCAGAGAGACAAAGAGAGACAAAGAGAGATAGAGAGAGACAGAGAGAGATAGACAGAGAGAGATAGACAGAGACAAACAGAGAGAGAGACAGAGATAGAGAGAGACAAAGAGGTAGAGACACGACCTCACTACTTCCATCGGTTTTGTCAGCGGGCGCCTACCAAAGTTTGGCTATATGTACATAGCAACATACATTCTTATTTATTTTTGTACGTCTGTGTTTTCCCGTCGATCAGTCCATACAACACTGGAATACAATGTTTAACAAATATCTTTGTTTTTCCGTCGACCCCACTCCCTCCCCTCCCC